CGGGGGCTTCAATTCACGGTCTTAGACTATGAACTGACTTGAGGCTAGTAACTTGCAAAACCTGTTCTGGAAATTGGTCACTTCACGGTCTGGGATTTCAGTTCACGGTCATCTAAGACCGTGAACTGAAACTCCAGTCCGTGAACATTGCTCATCCTCCACTTTTTGGCTCGTTTTGACCTCTGAATGTCCCGAAACTCGTCTCTGACCTTCCCACACGTGCTAGGACCTTAAATGTACCAAAACAAGCACAACCTAGCGTAAAATAGGCTGAAGGACGGTGATCTACTAAGCAATACAAACAAGAAATGAGGGGTAAAATGTGTACATTTGGACCTGAATCAGCATTACTTGACGATGATCTACTAAGCAAAACTTCCTTTGCTTGCTCTAAGGCTTTTTAAAAACCATCTTCTCTATATCTTTTGAAAAATAAAATAATCCATCTATTTTTAAAATAACATCATCAATAAGCATGAGCACTAGGAATATTAGCGTCACAATCTTTCACAACAAAACAATCTAATGCTCCTTTTTTTAGATTGAATTAATTCTTTAAGTTTTTGTTTCTTTTTTTCTTAGAACTTTCATATTCAAATTTTTTAGACGACATAGATAAAAGAAATGGAAATTAGGGCAGTTAACTTCACAAATATGATGGGCATTGGATGATGAAGGTGGACGCTTGACGATCAATTCTTGGCGAGTCACTATCTAGAAGATGATGATTGATGAATTGACAATGGCTGAAGATAGGGCTGTCCATTTGGTTTTGGTTTTTTGGTTTTAACCAAAACCAAACCAATTGGAAAGCTAATGGTTTCAGTTTTTTGGTTTTAAACCAATAAGCAACTTAATGATTTTGGTTTGGTTAAAACCAAAAAACCAATAGAAACCATTAAGAAACCAATAAGAATAAAATTATTTATCAACAAATATTTTTTTTTTTGTTTCTTTTGACACGCATGCCAACCAACAATTTGTAATGACCATTTACCATTATTATGACGTTTATTCAATAAAAAAAAGGGAAATAGGAATAAATATGAGTGTATGAGTACATATTGGTTTTTTGGTTATTCAAACCAAAACCAAAACCATTAAGGCCCTTATTGGTTTTTGGTTGCCAAAAACCAATAAGGACCTTAATGGTTTTGGTTTTGGTTTTTGGGATTTGGTTTTTGGTTTTTGGTTTTTCATACTTAATGGTTTGGTTAACCAAACCAAACCAAATTGACAGCCCTAGCTGAAGATGAAATGAAAAATGATATTAATTAAAAGAGTGATGCAAATAAAATGAAAACAAAAGAATCCATATTTTTGAAAACCATCTTCTCTATATCCGTTGGGCCTTCTTTTTTTATTAACCTTCCAATTAATTGTTAGAGCTGGCTTCTAATACACAAGCAGCTGGTTTCTTTTTCCAAACTAAATGGTCGTTTGCTTCAAGGATTTGGTACATGGATTTGGTATCAAAAAACCAACTATCAAGGATTTAGGTACAATCCCTTGTTTGCTTGTACCTTTTTTGGAGACCAAATCCGTGGACCCCACGGACTTATAAATCCCACATGTTGATATGGGATTTGGAATATGGCATAAATCCTTGATGAGATTTTACCCATATACCCTCATGCATTTTTAATATTCCAAGGTTGCCCTCAAATTTAACTATTATACATTATAATTAACAATAAATGAATAATATAAACATTCAATTAATGTGCAAACATGAGTTAGATTTTTTATATCATTTCTTGTGTTCTAGTTTTCTTTGACCTTTTCATGGAACGTGTAATTCTTAGTTCTCCCGATTCTAATATATGTTGTTATATGTCACTTTTGAAAAGGAGGACGAAGAATTGGTAATTGATTATGTTACGTTAAAAGTTAAAACGGAATTTTCTCGTTTATTATTATTGTCCATGTGGCAACATTATGCTTATTAGTATGTATTGTCCTTGTTTTGTGTACATATCATAAACATGTCAAACATATAGAAAAGGGCAGTAATGTAATTTTTTACTTTAAGTAGTAAATCCCACACCTTTAAATCCATGATAAAAACATCCCAACAAACAAAGGATTGTTACAAATCCATGATGCCTCAAATCCTTGATAAATCCTTGGGTTTTTAAATTACAAAACCCTCATTTTTAAATCCATGAAGCAAACGACCCCTAAATGATTGATATGTGCTAGTCTTATGTCTAGGATAGGATTAACGAATTGGAGGCCCCAAAATCTGGAGGCCCTGTGCGGTGAGGCCTGCCCGCACAAGGTCAGGGCAGTCACGAGAGATTATTGCCTACGCCGGGAGTGCCACGTGTGAATGCTGATGTGGTGCTCCCGGCAAATAATTGATCGCCACCTACGTTTAACGTTTATCACTCCTTTTTATATATTAAGAGCAATTAAAGGTTTTATCTTTTCTCTTCCCTCATCATTAAACCCCTTATTTCTTTCCTTTTACCCAAAAAATGGCCTCTTTCTCTCCCGTAGCAGAGCAACCCAAGATTAAATCCCCTGTTCCTTCATTCTCTCAGCCGCCAAGAAGCCATCGACATGCAAATGGTCCCCAAATTCATAAAGCTAAAATCTGGGATCAAATGGAAAGCTAAATCGACATGCAAGCATATATATATATATATTGTTCCTTCAATTTGATGTTGTGAAGGAGTTCAAAAGAAGCTTGCACTTCAGCCGAATCTAAGAGACCCTGTTCCGTCAATTTCGGTATTGGGGAAGGATAAAATGGCCGCCAGAAGCTTCATCAATGGCGGATTTTGATGATGGTGGATTTGTGTTCGATATTGTGGCGAAGATACCGATTCGAGCGATCTCATGATGCTCTGGACTGGACCAAAGTTTTCCTACGATGGCTTTTGGCGGCTGAGAAGACGAAGGAACAAGGGATTCAGTCTCCGGTTGCTCTGCCATGGGAAGGAGAAAGAGGATTTCTTTTTTGTAACAGAAAAAGAAAGAACGAATTTAATAATGCGGGAGGAGAGAGGGCTTTAATTGCTGGCATAAAGGTCAAGAATTATTGAAGGTTAAAAACAGATGGCGACTTTTTATTTGCCGGGAGCACCACATCAGCATTCACACGTGGTACTCCCGGCGTAGGCAATAATCTCTCACTAGTCACTACCTAAAAAGTAACTTTTATTACTTGTTTCTTATTGGTGCAATCATTTACTCTTTTGTTTGTTTAGCATAGAATTTTGATCAAATCATAGGGAACATCACCCCATGGTTTTTACTTTTTTTGCCATCATATCATTCGAATACATACTCAAGTTTCAAAGTAGTTACCATAAAAAATCCTCTGGATTACGTCCCTAGATATATCTAGCAAATTTATAGTTTTGATTGCATTAATATCACTACATACATGCACATCAAGTTTTTGGCACCGTTACCGGAGAATTCTAATATTATATGAAAGCATCTAACCATCTTATACCTCTTTATTATCTTTAGATTTATTTTTGTTTTATAGATTTTCATTTTATGAGTGCAATTTCTAGTAGAAGAGAAATGGAAAACGAAAAGATCATGAAAGAGATCATCAAGGAAGAAGGAGCATCGAGTTCACCCTTGCTGAGATCGAAAGAAGGAGCATCTAGCTGAGGAGAAGAGGACACTTCAAGCAACACTCATCTCAAATTGAACCCGGTGAAAAAGATGGGAGTTGGAAATGTTCAGCATTTTTTGTTTGCTTCTGGGCCAAATTTTGTCCCCAAATCTGGCATTTTAGTACCTCTATGGCTATATCGAGGGAGAGAGAGGGGGTTGCACATAAAACCTCTATTGGAATTTTTTTTTTGGGGGGCATATTGGCTTCCTATTAGATATGGACCATATGGTCTAAGCGTTCCTACTCCCTGCGAACATAAAACCCGCCACCAACTTGGGCTGGGTCTAATTTGAAAATCCGCAAAATTAATTTCAGGGTCGGCCCAACTATCTAAAGTCACTGGACCCAGCCCGCCACCAATTTAGGCCGATTCTTACTATATAAGAGTATCAGTAGCGTGACCATCCAACTCAACTCTACCGTAAAATCTGCCTTCTGCGGTTTTAATTTTTTGTAAGGCGAAGGCTCTGTATACTTCAAATCTTTCCCAGGTACGTTCCCGTCCCGTGTGTGAACTGTGAATTCCTTTGTTGTTCCACAATCCATTCCTGCATGCACTGATGCACTTTTCCCCTTTTCATCCATGGCCGTTGTAGCTGTGCAGCTTGAGTTTGTAAAGTTGTTCGCTTTGTATGTTCTATAATCCCCTCGTTAATTGAAAGTGAGGATCTCTTCTGTCCCTGTCAGTTTGCCTGTGTGCTGTTGGATGTATAAATCACGATCATCAGCGCGGTTCTATGAATTAGGGGTTCGGACTGATTGAATGGGTTTCTTCTTAGCGGCGGTTTTGATGACGCCTCTGTTTTTTTTTTTTTTTTTTGTTCTGAATTGGAGAGAATTAATATTTTGAGTCTTGTTTATAGCTTGTATGACCGGATTTATGAGTTGGGTAGTCCTGCTCCTGGAAGCTTTTCCCCTTTTCTCGGTCGAAACTCGATACCTTCTGTGAATTATTGCTTTGTTTCATCGCTGTTTAGAGAAGGCGCTGAATTTGATTCATTAGGGTTTGAGAGATGTATTATTCTGTCTGCAGTGGACTTAAAACAAGGTTTGAAATAACATTACCGAGTGTACTACTTGAAGATTGTGTCCATATATGTTTGGAGAGAAACTAGCTAGTTGGGATAATCTTTCTTACACTGACTTAGCTTGTTTACATACAATTTTGAGCTGGGGTAGTGGATTGCTTAATATTGTGTGAACATCTTGCCCAAGAAACTAGGGGCGGAGGTGGAATCAGAAGAATGGCTACTTTGATGTGTTATCTTAAGGTTGTAAAGGATAATTTTCAGGGTGAACCCAAAACTAATGACGACTTTCTTCTGGTTATGAAGGATTTTGAAGCTGGGATGTTTGATCTTAGTGAGGGATTTAGCTCCCCTCGTCATTTTGGTTCTTTATATGTTTATAACGACATTGGGAAGCTAGAGAGGATGCTGCTGATGATCCTTTTCTCATCCCCTATATATGTCCTTTTTTTGCTGTAGAATTTAATTTATGCTGCCAATGTCATTGCAGGGGTGAGCAACTATATAGAGGCCATCCCGACTTGACTTTGGGTTTAGTAGTTACCCTCTTGCCTGAGGGATATCAGATCACTCTTGCCCTGGACGATGATGACCAACCCTCCACCGCGGAAGAAACCAGTTAAATGTCACGAGGCACTCATTTTTGTCCGCAAAATCAAGGCGTAGGCTTGCTGTAGCTGCCCCATTGCTTGCACTTACTTGCATAGTCTGCATTGTTATGTGGAAAGAGCTATATATATAGCCTTATGTTGTGTGTTTCTTATGCAGACAAGGTTTCCAGGTGATCCTCAAGTTTTCAAGTCGCTTTTCGGGGCTCTGCAAAGGTTCCGGAATGGGCATATGCCCATAACAGAGATGTATGGAGAGGTATACTAACTAACTAACCATCATGTTTGATTCTTGCTAGTTGTTGGAGTTTGAGGCCATTTGCTGAAGAAAGTAATAATGCAGTTGCAATCGCATATGCCAGTGTTTGTTGCTTGCTCTTGGGGCCTAAACACCAAGTATGTTGGTACAAAATTAGCAGTTTGAATTACGTATGTCCCATAGCTTTTCTTGGTTCTTAAGATGGAAAAATGGAGTCACGAAATCTTATCAAGATATATTACTGTGCGGCAATGTAGTTGGGATGAGGAAGGGAATCACATTGTTCAATTTGTTTAGTTGAGTGTAACAGGAAGGGTGAAAATATGACAAAGACCTATCAGTCTCATCTATTTCATGGTTTCAACATGAGCTACTTGAGTTGGGAATAAGGGTGATGATCCATGCATGTATGAGACACTCATGATATATGTTTGAGTGCAATTACCATTGTAAAAAATGTAATCTCAATAATAGTACTGTGACGATATTGACGATGATACGAAAACTAATGCTATCCACAGTATCAATTTTTTTATATAGAGCTACTGAATTTGTCAGCTAACTATGGATGTTAATGCAAAAAAAATAAATGGATTTCACATCATCTTCCAATTCGATTTATCACGATGATTTTCTTTCTGCCAATTTGGAGGCCTTAAAACGCTCACGGTGTTACAGCCTTATAGGATACGTGAGCACCTCTTGGTTGGCAATAAAAAAGGCGAATATCCGTGTTAGTAAATTAAAATGAAATCGAACCGAAACCAGTGAAAACAGAAACCCTAGCTAGTATAAATAAGCCATCACTTTGACAACTCACCAAATCCCAAAAACTCCGTTGAAATAAATAAAAAAAAAGGTAAGAAATCAAATCCCGAGAATATAATTAATTATAATGCTAACCCTCTCTGTAACTGACGTTATAGATCGAGGCTTCTTCCCAATTGTCAATAAAGAGACGGTGTAGAAAAGGGATTTGCAGTCTGCAGAGAGAGAAGGCTGTTCTTCCGAGCTAGGTTGCAAGGTCTGATGTAGGTTATGGAAATCCCTTTTGATGTTCAAATTCTCTCTCTCTCTTTCTCTAGTCTTTAGCGCTTTGATTACTTACCTGCCTGCACATTTATATGTGCTTTGCTTTGTGTTCCAGTAATTCATTCCCTCATTTTGGGGTGATTGATTAATTGATTTGAGGTGAATCTATTTCAACTGTTAGATGATGATTTGTGGTGAATCGATCTGTTGATTTCGGTTTTGGTACTTTTCAATTGAATCCCTTCGATGGTCCCTGTTTAGTAGCGTTATGCACTAAAAGTTCAAGCTAAAGCGCTCGATCGAGTAAAAGGCTTATAATATAAACTTGCTTTGCAACCGCTCTTTAATTTTCGGCCTTTTGATATTAGAATTTTATGACCATATTAGGTCGGGTTTGGGATGGTTTTGTAGGTCATAAAAAAAAAAGAGGAAAAATGATGCATTGTTATTTCTTAGTCGTCTGTGTTATCCTTTCAACCTTTCTTTTTACGAATCGTGTATTATTACTCTTACTCCCATCGGGATAAATCTGACCCCTTCCCCTGTTTCCACCTACATATATGGGATATTTTAAAAAGTGAACATCCTTGTTAGTAGCGGGGTCCGGAGAAAGAATAGGAAAGGTGACAGATTCCCTATCTTTTCCATCGCGCCGCTTCGTCTCTATTTTTAGCTTCTCTCTGACTCCGAAAATGGGTTAGTGATCAGTTTCGTCTGTCTGTGCATTAATTGTTGCAGTAGTTCTTTGTGGGCAAAACCACAGAGATCGAGATATGGTGAGACCAACAGGAAGTGGTAGTGCAGCACAGAAGCTTGGGATGAATGATGCATTGTCTTATTTGAAGAAAGCAAGGTGGATATTACCTCAGGACAAATATGATGACTTACTTCAGGTTCTGAAAGATATGAAAGCTGGAAGGTGAGAGACTACTCGACCGTACGTACTTTAATTTCACTGTTTGGAATTCTTTCTTTCTTTCTTTCTTTCTAGCTAGTTTACTTGAGCTGTTTTTCTGATCGACGATTGTTTTTGCCGTCGTACTCGTACGCAGAACTGACACTAGCGGCGTGACCACAAGGGTCAAGGCCTTGATGGATGGACATCCTGTCCTGATCAGGGGGTTTAATGCCTTCTTGCCTAAGGGATATGAGATTGATCCTCCTCCTCCTCCTCCTCGGCCGGAGGTCGAACAACAGCGTCGACAGCAATTTGACGAAGCAGTCGACCTCGTTGATAGAGTTAAGGTACGTTCTTATGCACTTACTTACTTAGGTTATACTTATACATACGTTGTGTGTATAGCCTTATTCGGTATGAATTGTTTATGCAGACAAGGTTTGCTGGTGATCGTGGCGTTTACCACTCCTTTTTAGATATTTTGAACACGTACAGAAAGAATCACAAAACCATGGCACAGGTTTATGAGGAGGTATATACACATATCTTTCTATATCATATGCTAAATAGAGAGTGCATGTGGTTAATTACCTTAGTTGCGGACAAGGTTTTCAACCTGGTATAGTCCGTTGGCCCGTTAAGTGGCCGGTTGAGGGTTAATGATCCGATCGTTTTAGACTGCAACGTTACAATACGTGTATTCATATGTTGAGAAATTATTATAAAGTGATAGAATGTGGACGGTGGTTAGTCCTCTCTACTCTAAAATTTGAGTTCACTCTAGAAAAAGTTGTTGTGGCTTAGTTATTTTCCGCCCCTCATTTTAAATCCTGTCATGGCACTGCTGGGTTACATTTCTGGGTTTGCCTTTTGATTTCTCGTTGCATAGGTAGCTGCACTTTTCAAAGACCACCAGGATCTGCTTCAAGACTTCGTTCGTTTTTTACCCGACGATGGCAATTTTGGCGCTGAGCATCAAGTTGGCGAGGGGGATGATGGTAAGAGTGGGTGTGAAAGGTTGTTGGATTGCTTGGATGCCACCAAGTGTAAATGTAAACATTTGAAATAAAAACGTACGTCTTGCTCCCCAATAGTTGGCCTAGCTAATTTTGCTTCTTTCAAATTAGGTTGTGACTTTCGTATGGGGTGCTTTATGTTACGGCTTTGTCTTCAAAAAAAAAAAAAAAAAAAAAAGATATTCGGTTTGTGCTTCACAACAATGTTTTTGACACATGAAATTGTTGTGTACGGTGATGGTATAGAAGTAAATAATATTGATATAATTTAGCAATTTATAGAATAAGTATCGTGTCCTATGAGTTACGGTAGTACATGAGCCTATCATCTAGGTGGCATAGTAATTGAATGATGGTACAAAACTAAATAATATTTATATATATAGTTTAGCAATTTATAGAATAAGTATAGAATAAGTATCGTGCCTATCATCTAGGTGGCATAGTAATTGAATGATATTTTTACAATTTAGTAACTTTGTTGAACAGGAATTAGGAACGTGACTCGTGATATATGAACATGATCATGATTTTGAACTTTTTATTTGAAAATATATCAAATGGACATTGTTTTGTAGATCACATAAAATCTGAATTTTGTGCTAAAAAATTTAAATTAGTAGTTGAAACAAAATAAATACCGATCGATTAATAGTAGAAAATTTGAAAAAGAAGGAACACATAAATATAACAAAAAAAAAAAAAAAAGTTAAAGAAATATTTGATTGGTGGTAGGTAGGGATGGCAATCAAACCCATGGCCGCGGGGAATCCCCGCATTGACCGGGTATGGGTAAAACCCGCAAAGAATTTGATGGGTATGGGGCGGGTATGGTTTTAGCGTCCCCCCGCCCCATACCCATACCCAAACCAGCCCCATCAAGGTATTTTGCTATACATAAAAAACTATAAATATATTTTTATAAATTATTATTAGCATGAAGGTATTTAAATAAGAAAACTTGATTAAAATATAATTATATTTATCAAAAACCTTGAAATTTTCATCCCTTTCAGCCGACTACATTTTACTTTCTCAATTCCTCAATGTCGTTGTCTTTCCTCTCCTGACTCCTGAATCATCTTGGAGATGACCACCTTACCAAAATTGTTGAAGAGATAGTAATAGTCATTGCATATCATTTTTTACATTTGAATTATTTTGATGCATATTGGTGTAACTTAGTGTGTTTGAACCATTGGAAGTCTAGTCGACTTTAATCTTTTGTCTAGTTGACAAGTTTATGTTAGCTATTTACTATATCGATGTGTTAGATTCGAAGATGATGATTTGATATAGTATTATATTTTCATTTTATTTTATTGATTAATCAATAGTTTATGATTGAATGTTTTTTCCTATTAAGAATATTGTAACTATGTTGATTTCCGCTATTTATTATGTTTTGTGTTGTAATTGAAGACATACATGTTGAACTTTAGATATAATAATATTGCTTATACGAGGCGGGTATTACCCATGGGTATGGGGATGGGTTTGCAAAACCTCACTCCGCATGGGTATGGTGCGAGTATGGGTTTGGGTATTTGGTAATTGGGATGAGGATGGTTTAGGAAAACCCGCCCCATTGTCATCCCTAGTGGTAGGAGGTGATGACGTGCATGCATAAGAAGTCTAAATTTTGAAATGATGAAATGTAAATGAAGAAAAAAATTATTATATTTTATAGATAAATAGATTGTATGACTCTATGAGGGTAGGTGTGTCGGATTCAACATTCAAAAATTCCAATCAATTTCGTAAAAATGGGAGTACAAAAAGTATTTTACATAAGCTATATTTTCTTCCCTTTTCATTCAAAATCCAACTAGAACTAAGCCTCTCTCCATCAAGGGAACCTGGATGTGGCATCTTATTTTAATGTCGTACGTGCGACTCCTCTGGTTAGAGCAAGACATCTTTTATGTGTTGCTATTGTCCCAACCCATCCTTGCCCAAGTCAAAGGCCGAGAGAACAAGATTCGACTCATCATGTTCCTGATGCGACTCAAACACAAATTTGAACTAATTCATGCCACCCTTCTAAACCAAGACTCTCTGAAAATTCAAGGTGTTGTTGGTATCCTCACTTGAGTGGAGACTCCACTTCGTACTCAAGTCGCACGATCGAGTATTGGTAATATTAGTTGTTGTGTACAGATCCCTACCTTGTGGTGGAAAAGGAGCTGCTCATTTTGGAGCTCGTATTTGATCAAGTATGAGAGGGGAAGGATGAGTTGCGGGTTTACGGACTTTCTTAGGGTGTAATTAACAAACTCATAACCAAAATCCTTTATCGATTTATGGTTCGTTTGCTTCTTCTGAGTTCATACTCAAATTCACCACCCCCACTAGTTCCATTATTTCTAATAGTAGGCAGGACACTACCCCCACTATTTCTTGAATTAAAATGGAAGTTTATTGACATCAATGGATTTCACAACAACATGAGTATTTCGTTTCATAGGAACTATGTGTTTTTATTGTTGAAAACATAAAACACACTCATATGCTTTTATAGTTATCATGTTACACTGATTCTCTAACGCTACCACACGCATGCCACATATCGAATAATCAGTGCAATCTTAATGCAATTAGGCATTTCAAACCATTTCAAATAACTAGTCATACAATCATAGCACTCTAAAGAGCAATAAATTATTTATTTTCTTTTCCATCAAGTTTACCCATATCAACATAAATCATATCTATTGATTCTGATTATCTAATCACTTATTTATAGGTCATTTAGCTTGGATAACAAAAAATTTACTTTTATCTCAAGCATTCAAGAATAATATGAGAATGTGACTTTCGATATTATAATTCTTCATACAGACACATGTGTCACACATAGAAGAATTCTCATTATTTACCTAACCATTCCTTACACCTAGAATAGTCAACGACTTTCTAGAGTTTAAGGTTCGTTTCCACTTTCCCATAACCATCAACAGTGGTGGTGAAGGCAATGCCCAATCAAAACTTTCTTCTCACGCCTCAATTATGTATGATTGAGCTTAGCTAGTTTATCACACACATGCCTTGAGGCGGCAGTTTCCAACAACCATTCTTCAGAGTTACCCTTAAGGTTAACCTCTGTTCTTATCTCATTGATCATTGCTACCAAATCCTCTTATTTAATCAAGTTAACAATGGTACCATGTTAAACTTGTTCATACACTTTCGTGTCATGTGATCTAGTTTCTCGCAATCATAACAGAGAAATATAGTATCATTTTAGAGGATTGGGTGGCAATCTGCTACCACGAAGGGTACCATTCTAATTAGTGTGGATCTGGTTCAACTTGTTGCTCTCATTCTTGAAACTTTAATGTTTCATAGCAACCTTAGTGGTTCATGTAGTACTGACAACAGTACTTCTTACAATATCGTCACTATGGGCAATTAACCCATTCTATTCCCATATATTCTTCATATATATGCACACATTTAAATTAAATCATTCTATTTCACAATATGTATTCAATTTATGCTCTAATCATCGAGGTACTTAATACATCTCAATGTCAACTTATCATGCATCAATTCAAGGTTTTTTTTTTTGGCTAGTATTCATAACATTTTTCAATTCCATGCATAGAGCTTAATGGAATAGAATCTAATTTATCATTCATTAATGACTCACGAAGAAGGTTTGAATTCTAACCTCTTTTTCGTGAAGCCATTGGCTCAAGCTTCGAGAATTAATTTTCAGGAACTCTGCTTCTTGAGTTATTCAAGTGCTCCAATTGATTCTTCTTTCCCTGATCGTGACTTTCTAAACAGGATCCTTCCTACCGAGATTAACTCCTCCACAGGCAGATGAGCTTGTCCAGGTCCCTCGCTCGACTCGATTGTCTAGCTGAAGTAGGCGTATCTTTACTAGGGAACCTTGCGGACAACATCGAGCTTTTACCTTCAAAATTTAAGAACCCGCAGCTCCAAACACTTATCAATGCTGAAGTCTCAATTGGCCAGCATTCCCTTTGTCGACACCGCCTTAACATCAGTCGAATCGGTTGCCCTAGCCCGCCACCGTCGTCAATCGATTGGCTTGTCGAATATCACTTCCGCACCCGAGGCACCGTTGCACTTGTCGGCGTTAAGACCGCTACAAAATTCCGGGGGAGTCGCCAAATTAAACCAGCTACAACCATGGTCCTCTCCTCGACGCAACTCTCGACCGACCTCTTTATCTTGCTCTACCTCTCAAAGACGGTGGCATATATATGAAAAATCCACAACCTGCAGAGCTAGCATACAAAAACCCTACACAAGCAACATATATTTTATAACTTATATAATTATGCTATGTACTCCCGCATAGGGATGGCAATGGGTCGGGTTGGGTCGGGTTTTGCCAAACCCAAACCCAAACCCATGGGTTTATCTTTGAAAAAAACTCGGGTTAAAACCCATTGGGTTTGAAAAACTCAACCCCAACCCAACTCGTTGGGTATCCGCGGGTTCATGGGTACCCACGGGTTTTGTCGTAAAAAATTTACAATTACAAATTCTTATCAAAATTAAAGTCAAATATCAATCTCTCAATACAAATTATCCATATATAAAATATCATTCTAGAAAATTCAAGCAAATCACAAATTAACTATACAAATTGTTCAACACCAATCAAGAAAACTCAAGAAAATTGAAGCAAATCACAAATTATCCATAAATAACATGTTTAATTGAAAGCTTCTTCCTTTCAGTTAAGTTTCTTTTTTTTTTGTAAATGGTGATATATATTAATTGAAGATTAGCAAAACAGGGAAGGAAAAAACACCAGCCGGCTCGGCAAGCTAACACCGAACGAGCCAAGTCCCCAAAGAAACGGGAGGGGTGAAAGAGAAAAGAAAAGGAAGGGAAAGAAAAAGAAAACGAAACAAAATGGGATGGTAGACCTTCCCACCCTGCTCGACCATCAGCTCGTAACATAAGGGAGGGGGGATAGGCCAAACCATCTAAACAAAACCTCTAGACAAAACCTCCGTCCAGACCCGCTTCATAGCCAGTACCATACAATGGAATAGTGGAAGATTAGTAGGCAAGAAGGGGAAGGAAATTAACGGAACAGATGGCCAAAGTTGCCAGACTCGCCAGGGCCTCTGCTGATCGGAAGTCAAGCTCAGAAACCGGTGCGGAAGGTCGGAGGAGTAGACAGTTACCGCTCTTCATCATGGAGTTGTCAATCCGAGAT